TGTAGTAGTAGTAGTAGTAGTAGTAGTAGTGTGTAGTAGTAGTAGTAGTAGTGTGTGTGTGTGTGTGTGTGTGTGTGTGTGTGTGTGTGTGTGTGTGTGTGTGTGTGTGTGTGTGTGTGTGTGTGTGTGTGTGTGTGTGTGTGTGTGTGTGTGTGTGTGTGTGTGGCACAACATGGGATGAAGAATGAGTTTGTGAAGGACTAGGCAGGATATTTCTTCTTTCACTTTCACTCTTATGTGTGTTTGATGCTGCCAGAGTTGAAAATAGCTATTATATCTGACATATCAGCTATTTATATGAGGCTATAGTTGTAATGTACTGTGTGTGTGCATAACACACTGTGACTTTAGACAAGCAGATGCATATAAACAATAATTATCTCTATTTTGGAAAACATCTATCTTAAAACCAACTGTTAAGCCGCTACAGTTAGTAATGAAAACATTTTCTTTCACATGTGTGTGAGTGTGTGTGAGTGTGTGCGTTTGTGTGTATTAGTGTGTGTGCGCTTGTGTGTCCATCTATTGTGCATCAGTTCTAATTAAGAGTTGAGGGCAGCTGATGCTCTATCGTATCCTGACCTCCCGTGGGAGAGCTGCTGCTTGGCTTATAGCCTCTTTCATGTGTATTGAGCTGGCTGTGAAAAGGTTAATATTCACCATTGTTCCAGTTTTATTTTGGTGATAAAGGACTATTATTGATTGAAAATGGACTTATTGTGTAACAGCAGAGAGCGATGTGTGTTAATGATTCCCTCTCTCTCTTCCTTACCTGCATTTGACTCTGAGTACACTCTGTGTGTGTGAACAGATCTCTATCTCGGTCCCTGTCCCTCCTGAATGACGGTCTTATCTTCATCCTCAGCAGCCGGCCAGCACAGCTCCATAGATTCCCTCATGTAACTAATTACTGTCTCAGCAGCTTCACTATCTGCTTGAAACAAAGATTTGTTTTTCGAAGGCCAAGAGAATATTGTTTCATTTAGTGTAGAGATGCACGACATGGATTTTTTTCCAGCCGATAATGGATTATTGTGTGCTTGTCATGGCCAAACAGATGGTTAATTACATGTTGTTTACCTACTTTTGACGCTAATAAAAACACAATTGTTGTGAGGAAAGATTGATGATTTAATATTCAACAGATCTGACCTAACCATATCTAACTGACATCACTATTGTTAGCAACAACAAAAAAGAGCATTTTGCCAAATAATTCAAATAAAATGGTGCACACCTCCATCTTTTGTATCTGATTGTAACGATGTTTGTTTAGCCAATGAAATCAGTTTGTATTACAGATCGATAATTAATTGTATATATTGTTTTTTTTTGTATACAATACAATTATTGGACCAATACAAAGTAATATAATAATGTAATGTTAATTAATCATTTATTGCCAATCATTACATTACATGTCACTTGTTAGACGCTTTTATCCAAAGCGACTAACATACATTCAATACTGTGGGCAATCCCCACAGGAACAATTGTGGGGTCTTGTCCAGGGACACAACGGAATGTTGACTGCAGCGGGATTCGAACCAGTGCTCCCGTGATCCGGAGATCAGCGCACTATCCCACTGAGCCACAACCTCCCATATCAATGTCATGCATTGAGTCATTGAATGATATTTCTCTGCCTGTTGAGAATGGTGCATTTTGGCCAGTGACTAACACACCATCATAAAAGATGATATAAGAGATATTATACATATGTTATAGTGGCTGATGTAATCTGACACACACACACACACACACACACACACACACACACACACAGCAATATACATTTTTCACTCTGCATTATCTCTGCACACGTGAGCATTTCAGATCCACTTTCACACCGATCGATCACTGTGTGAATGAAATAGATAGAATTATTCAGACAAATTGAAAGCCTGCTGTGAAAACTGTCTAGCTGTCAGTGTCAATAAGGAGGGAGCATATTCAGCGGGGGAATCGACCAGAGATCCTGTCGGGATAAAGCCACGACGGATACGATATAACATTTAGTGAAAGGAAGCATGACTGTAGTATTGCCAAGTTTTATTTGCTACTGTCCTGAGTTTAAAGAAGAGAGATGCTCTATTTGAATACATGAGGAACTCTGGGTATTGTGTCCCTAGATCCCTCAAGTGTTTGTGAACAGCAGCTGCACTAAAACATTGAAGCATTTTGAAAGATGAACACGATGTGGTATCTTTTGGAAATGACTTTTTGTGTGTATGATCTTATGACAATAATTGTTTTTAGACATTTTAGACTTACAATGAATTAATGTAGGGGTAAGGAGACCATCTGGGCATGTATATATGTATGCATATTATACAAAACGGATTATTCCCAGTGAGTCGGTATAGCAGTTAAATGATGCAGTTCTTGAATTAATTCATAGAGGTCTTTTTGCAGATTGTGTTCCCTGTTTTTTTACAGTGCTATAAATAAGAAGTCTTATTTTGCATGTCTGAAATGTCAGCCGAAGTCAGATTTTAACATTCACGAGATATAAATACAACAAACTGATAATGGATCAGTAAACTAGAAGATAATGAATATAAACAGATGTATTTGTTAATAATTACAAGCCCCCTCAGTCTCTGGGATTGAGCCCATTGTACACATCAGCAACATTTCCTGAGGCTCTACCTTTCGTTGTCCTCTCGCCTGACTGACCTTTTCTGACTCGATGTTCTTTTTCAAACGTCTCATTGTAGGAAACAAGATGGGAGTGACCCCCGAATTTCTGCAACACTAGAGCCCCAGCTGTTCCAGCCTACACTCCCATACACCAGCTCTCCATTCCACAAGGTAGGAGGAGACCTGGGGGGGTTACACTTTGACCCCTGACCTTATCTGATGGACCCCTGTGTGACCCTTCCCTCTGTGATCTCTGTGTGTCATGTTGTCTTCACACTTGCCTCTGTCTGGATACTCTTGCTCGGTGTTCAGTCACTTTTAATGACTCTGATTTAGTGCGTGCAGCTTTGATTTTTTTATTCTTGTCTTCTTTTGTTTAACTTGTTAAATTAGACTTCACAAAGCTTTGTGTCCGGGATATTAATGGTCGCCTGATTTAATCAAAACTGATTTATTTTTAGCATGTAATTGTCAGCTTCATGACGTCAATGTCTCTTTCCAACCCTCACAAGTATTTCATAAAAGCAAACAAAATATAGCCTGTCTGAGTAATTCTCCTTTTTTAATCAAAAGACAAACTTCTTCACTCCCACCACCAAGGATGATGTGTCACCAAATGGGAAACTCAGTAATGTGTAATCCCTCTTTGTGTGGTTCTCCATTGTTATTAAGATGTGTTTATGCCATCCTGCGCAATTACCTAGTTTAACTTCAATCGTTGATTAAAATAATGAACACTTTTTGCATTCTTTTTACAAATGTGAGCCCAAAATAATCCAATATCTTTTATTCCAAAGTAGTTTACGGTCATTTAATGCCCTGACCTTGGTTGGACTTCCTGCAAAAAGGTGTAAAAGTCCACTTTAAATATACATTTGTTTAAACATTTAAGAATCAGCTTAGCTTGATCTGTTTACTTCCTCGTACTGTTGTCTTTCCTCATTCGCTTTGATGAGGAATATGACATGTTGGTGATGGTAGATGCACCAAATAAAGGGCAATCATTTCAATACGTCTATTCACATTGTCACAATACATGTCTTTTTTGCTGTCAGAATCTTCATGCCCACCTTTTAGTAAGTCTTAATCATTGTTATAAGCCACAGGGATATTTTGGGACCTGTACAAACTGTACAAAGCTGAGCTTGGCGGTGATTAAAAGTGGATACGATCTCACTCAGGTCAGACTGTTTCAAAAGGTCCCTCACTCTGTGGATGGGGCTTACCTTTCTCCCAATCCGACTTGATCTGAGTAGAGCAGCGGGAGTGGGAAGAGAAAGGGATTATAGGGGAATTTGTCGGTTGGGTTGTTAAAAAGTCACTCCTGATCCCTGCAGCACACACCATCAGTAGGTGACACAAGTTACAATCAGTCAGCCGTGAGGAGAGCATTCTTGAGACTTCTGTTTGTCTACAGATTGCATGTAATGGCAACAAGATACTGTGTACACCGATGACTGTATTCAAAACTTGGCTCAAAGTATTTCTCCCATTTGTCTTCGCTGAAGGAGAAACAGAAGATTTGTTTTGAAATTTGACAGACATAAAACATTTGTGTCCATCCACTCAAGGGTGTCCTCAGTTCAAATGCATTTCTATTTCACATTTGATGCATAGTGCGATGTCCTGTCGTATTATAAGGCCTGAGTGTGTGTGTGGCAAGACTCAGAGGGGAGTACCACTTTAATCAGAGCCCTGCAAAAACCAGGTCAATCTGCAATCAACCCAACCGGGTCTTACTAAAATATCTGAGAACACCCACCACTGTCTGTAAACTGTTACATTGGACCCTTATGCTGTGCATCTCTTAAACACATCATGCATTGCTCACTCAAAATAGTTATACCTTTTCAGAGTTTGCTTCACAGTTACAGATCACAAAGCAAGGTGATCACTACAAATGTGTCACAATGCAAGACCTCAGATGCTAATCCATTTTCTTAAAGCAACCCTTAGAGCAACGGCTTCAGGACACACAAACATACCCACACACTGTCCAGTGGTCGTGGACAGTGTTGCCTCTCCATATACATGTATATTTTAGTGTTACCATACAATCTGATTTGTTACACCAATCAGGCTGAGACCTATTTACCTTGTGTGAACATGTGATGACAAAAGGTAGAACTTAGAAACAAACATTGTTAATAAAAGAAAAATAACAACATAAAAGCCCCCTAAATCCTTCTGATATTCTTTACTGACGAGCCAAGTTATAATGAGCTCTGTGACGATGCACACAGGAGAAAGGAGAGTAAGTCTTGCCCATTTAATTTGCCTCTTGTTATAATGACAAGCCTATTAGCTCTCATAATGAAAGCACTTACACCTGCACCGCCGCTAAGCGCTAACCAGGCTTCCACAACTCCTCGACTGGTTATCTCTGCAAAATGTTGTTTCTGCTTAAATGAGGTGTCTTTATTTGTATTCATCACAACTTTGTTTCCAATGCAGTTTGCATGTTTATTTAAATTCATTTGAAGAGTTCTGTGTCCTTTACTCAAACTCCTTTAACATTATTTTGTTCACAGATAGCTATCATTTCTAATAACACATTATTTGACATGTTGTTGCATCTAGTGTAGTGGGTTGTGCTGTGAACAGGAGATTGTTTGAGGACATGTCTGTGAGAGTAGAAGAGACTCTTCTTGTTGCCACCTGTCAGCCTGAATCAAGATAGTGTCAGTGATAAAGACTGACGTGGAAGATATGTGTTTTGGATTTATTCCAGCAATGCTACGCAGTGACAAAGAGGTATGAGCTAAGGAACAGACACCTACTGTCAGTCAGAGGATCACTGCTTGACACTTCAAGTAGCAGCAGTTGCCTTTGCATGCAACCTGAGACATACACCTGCTGATAATGTTGTATGTGTGAGCACACGCTGAGAGAGGGCCTGTGGATCTTGTCTTCGACTTGGTCTGATCCGTCTCTTTGTCAGTCATGGCTACAGTCAGCGGGGATGCTACCTTTGCTGTCGCAGTGGGACACTCTCAACTGTCCACTATCTGACAAAGACATAGCAGTCAGAAGGAGACTTTCATTCAAACCTGTTGGAGTCTAGAAACATCCTTTGAAGCTGCAGGACACCCGTGTGAGAAATGGCTGACAGTCATGAAACCCACTTCAATGCTCCATTGGTGACAAAGGCACGCTGGATAAAACCCGGCAATGTAAGTATCTTTCCTTGAGAAGCATGCAGGATGAAATCATCTCTAGATAGTAGACACTTTATAATGAACTAGTCAGTCTTTTCAGCAGAGGCTTGAACAACAGCCTCTCCAAGAGAAATGCAAATGCAGAACCCGACAGTTCATGACGTCACAGTTTTTATATAAATATACGTTTGTTGGGGAACATTTCTAGCTCTATTATCGGGTGTCTCTTCTTTCGGGCTGTATTTAACGCCACATTGTTTTATGGCTAAAGCTGTCCAAAGGAAATAGGGTTCTTATCTTCTTTTGTTGTAGTCTGTGGTTAATGCTTTCAGAGCTGGGTTTATTTACTTTCAGGGATCGTGGCTGACTATTGTTTGCACATGGTGGAGGACTTTACTCATACTGAAAGCTACGACAAGATTGCTCTGCACATATGCTGTTTGACTTTGTCAGGCTTTACTGGCTGAGCCTTTCAGCTGTCACTTTATTACTCCAGACGTTTCCATGGACTGCTGTAATTTACCATTTTCTGCACAGTCGCCATGTTCAACTGATGCGTGCAAGTGTGGTGCATGAAAGCTTTTACGGACTTTACACAAACAGCTGTGGTTGGGATCAAAAGATTCGGCAGGTGTACACACATGGCTGTGTAATGTGGGATAAACCACAAGGGAAGGCATGCTCAGGTAATATGGTTATTAATTAACTTTGGCGATTTGTCCAAACTGACAATAAAGTGTGTGCTTTCCCAACTTTACATAACCCACTGTTGTGTAAAGGGATGGGACAAAAGTTTTCCTGAATGACGATGTTCCATATTTGACCGTGAAGAAGTTATTGAGCAATTGACAATAATACTTTTTGTGGGGGGTCCTGGACACCGTGACCTCTTTTTAGCAGCTCAAAAAACATAGTTTACTCTGTTTATCACCTTGCTATGTCGTGACTTTGACTAATTTCATATACATTGCTGATACACGTGAACTTGAACTGATGTTTCCAATACAAATTACTTCTGTTTGAGCTCTCATAGATTCGGCTTTATTACAATGTATTTTCATGTTTTCCATATCGATGAGTGTTGAGTACTTTTATTAATGCAGCTCTATCTCTCCTAAACCCCAAATAAGTCTGTTTGGATTCCTGTCTTTGGAGTTGGTAACCTTGTTGATGAAGTCGAACACAGAGTTAGATCTCTATGGGGGCTTATAGACCCCCAGCATGTAATGTCAATGTAACAAACGGCACATTTCTTTGTGAGTTATCATATAGAATATTTATAACTCATTAAACATGACGTACCTTATTTGGTGTAAAAAACAATGATTAATGGCCATTTCATGTCATAGTTATAAAATGTCATAGCCCAGTTTGTGAGAAAGGAAAGAGTTTCCATTTCAATAATTGTCTAAATATAAGGAGGTATTGAAGAAGAACATATATATTATTTCTGTATTATTTTACAGCCATGGGATATGTTGAACTTTCGCAATCAGACTCACTGCAGTAAAAATAAAACACCGTGAGTACACAACAAAGAAACTCAAAACCTTTCATCTCACCCTCCTCTCCCCAGACCCCAGATTTATTTGAAATGATTGAAAAGATGCAGGTAAGATGGCGCGTTGATCTCCGTATTTTGTCTCGGCTTCCTCAGCTGCACTCACCAAGCAACTAACCAGCGAGTGTGTCTCTTCCTAATCCTGCAGCACTTTGGCCTTCTCCTCGGCTGCAACACTTGTGTAAATGAGAAGGAAATCAATTCTGCTGGTTTGACAGATCATTATATGTGTTTCCCAGCTGTTAACATCCTGTTTGTAACACTGGCTGACAGTAAGCTTATTATCTCACCTTAAAAACAGTCTCCTTTTCACTGACACCTCTGAAAAGGATGTTGATTGTAATCATGTGATCCCAAACACATTAGGCTAAGAGTTTTATGATAGATTTATTTATACTATGCAATTTAATGCATCACTACACGTGTCATTCTTCACAAAACATTTCTATTAATAAGAGTCATAATCTGCAGCCACATCTTTCATGTCTGGAAGTGTCTGTTGAGATAAGAACATATTTCATAAAGAAAGATCCCTCTTCAGCGAGGTGTTTTTTCCACTGCCAGAAAATATATTGTTGTGATGTATTTTCTTCTGTGAAGCCAGGCGCCCTAATTTAGTATCACTGCAACTCTTTCTTCTCCCACGTTGTTACTCTCTTTCACACATACACTCCGGTCCAGTGGTGTGTCAGAGTTATAGTGTCACTCAGCATCTTTTTTAATCCATGGGGTCTTATTACCACACTTCCTCTCTTTGCTAACAGACGTTTCAGACTCTCCCAAATGCCTGCTCTAAAGCACCCTTTAGTTATCTTTCCCTATCCGTCTGCTTTCTGTGTGTGTAATGGAACTCTTTCTGTATCCTTCCATCTGTTACTCTCTGAGTTTGCTTGGTTGCCTGCTGCGTATAACCCTTGGGAAAACTGTGCCGTTATGTAATCACGTTGATAATTTGTTTTAATTTGTTTTTGTGGTATTGCAGTACATGATTATATAACTTGTTTTGTATGTCTAATCGACGACAAGTGTTTGTATTTAGAAATCTGCGTCGACTCAATGCAAAACCAGCCGCTGTGTTAATGATTGAGCGTGACCCTTTTCTCTCTCTGGGTTTCTTATCTCGCCCTCTCTTGTAGGGCAACAGGATGGATGAGCAGAGATGCACCTTTTCTCCCCAACTCAAGGTACGGCTCTCCATTTAGAGACACGATTTCATTCACATGACGCAGGCATTGTCTCACGACCGCTCCGCCATATCTTTCTCTGCCAGACAGGCTGATTACTTCAGCAGGCAGTATTCATAATGCAGTGCAATGCTCTCAAGCCTTGCCATCATTGTTATACCTACATGGCTTTCAGAATCATATATCCTCTGATGCCATGCTCTGCAGACAGAAATGGTGAATTCTTTAGCAAGAAAGAATTTGACAGGATATGACATATGAGGTTATACAATATTCAAAAACAGCAATGTGCAAAATGATGGAAATCAAGCAATGCATTCACACCAGTGGTGAACCGTGTCTATCACAACTGGACCTTCTGTAGACACACACACCCCCCGCCGCCAACCTCNTCTACAAAAAAAACATCTACACTGTATATATTTTCTATAGTACTATAGTATTCTATAGATTATTTCTCAGAATTTATAGTAAAACACGTAGGCAATTTCTATATTATATCCGCAAAAATCAGAAAGAAAATTTCTATAGAATTCGTCCATAGATTTTTCTTTAGTATTCTATAGATTTTTTTGCTAAGGGTATTTCTATGGGAAACCACTTATTTACACATTTTGACTATGGAATACTGTAAATATAAGAGTGGCGAACCGTGTCTATCACAACTGGACCTTACACACACACACCCCGCCGCCGCCCCGCCCCCCGCGGCATGATAATGTCCGTCTTTTCACTGAATTGTCGTCTTGAAGGTACTCACAACAATTCCGCAACAACTTCATCTTCACCTGTTGCACTTGTCATCACTTGAATTGCTTCGTCGTATTCATAGATCCTCTGTCTCGAGCCAGTTAACTAGTGGGCCTTCTAGAATACCCTGGAACCGAGGGAAACTCTGAAAGAACACGCCCATTGGCTACAAATCAATATATGATTGGTTGATCAAACTGTCAGTCCAAACGTACGCTCTCATTCAGTGCAACGGCCAGGGCATTCTATCAAGGATGTAGAATACCTTGGTTGAAGGATATTCTACCCAGAGACCCAGAACAAGATCTGATTGGTTGCTTTCTTTTCTAACACAAAACCACTGAAATGCGTAGTGCATGGTCCGAGAAGGACAAACAAATCAACGTAACATTGTAATATTACAGATCAACAACACAGATACGATTCTCATTTATTTATTTTATATACATTTTATTACATGTTATTTATATAATTAAATCGATTTTTTGTTTGTTTTATCTGAGTGTTCCAGGGTATTCTCTGAATACCTTGAAGGCCCTGACGGTTTGCCACTGATTTACAATGTTGTTGCAAAACTCCATTGGACTAATTTTCATTGCATAGCAGTTATGCAATAACTCTGAACCAGGGGCCTCTGGGATTATATTGTTGTTATTTGTATTCTTTTATAACGGAACAACGTTTTTTGAATTTGTTTTTCAGACTGAGGAGGACTACATTCCATACCCCAGTGTCCATGAGGTAGGGTGATGATGTGCAGCAGGTGCACTTTTTACCATTTGTGCTAGTTTATCACTGAAGCATAAGCTAACTTTCAAAAGTGTCCTAACATGACTTTCACATTAACACCCTATTCTTTTTCAACACTTTTGCATTTTGTGGCAGGTGTTAGGCAGAAAAAGCCCCTTTCCTCTCATCCTGCTGCCTCAGTTTGGAGGTTACTGGATTGAAGGGACTAACCATGAGATGAGCAACGCAGAAACAGAACCGCCGCCACCTCTTTCCCCGAACACCCGCACCAAGCTGGAGTGTAACACAACAGCTATGATCTACCGGAAACACTTCCTGGGCAAGGTCAGCCGCTTTGTCATAACACAGAGAGAGATTGCTTTTACATTTTTTTACAATTTTTCCTTTCTTTCTTTCCTTTGGCATATTGAAAAAGCAAACAATGAACTGAAAAAACTATATTTGTGACAATGTAAGCAAGACAGATTGTTCTCTAAGCAACAACCTCTCCTCACAAATGTCACAATTACAAACAAAAACAATAGAAAACAAAGGCTACGTATAACATATATAACATATTCAGCCTTGTTAGATCCCATCTTAGTTTGTACATCTTCATCTTGTCCCTGATTTTATTAGATTTTATTTTCAAGATTTCTTATTCAAAATACATTACATAACAATCCACACTCATCCCCACGCAATCACCTGCTGTTTTTAAAAAATATATAAAAATACAGCCAATTTGAATAATTACTATGATGATATTATGTTAGCTTTCTTTATAATAGCATGGGGTTGTAATTATTACTTGGCAAAACGGAAGTCAGAGAGATAATGAAGGTGCACATAATACAGTATATAACCACAATCATATATATGTATATATATATATATATATATATATATACATGTATATACACGCGTTTATATCAAAATGTTTGCTTGGACATGGATGATCACATGCTAATATGTTACATTATCAGACCCCTTCCAGCCTGTGTAAGTCCTCAGAGCAATGAGTCCCTATTAGGCTTTTTGGCGTTAAGGGGCGGGACATCTCTAAGTAGTTGACCAATCACAGCACAACCGGCCAGCTAACCAATCAGAGCAGACTGGGCTCTGGTTTCAGAGAGAAGATAAAGCACTTTTTGTCACAGTAGAGGCACAAAATACAAACATGAACCTGAACATAAGCATAACAGGGCCTCTTTAACACATTGCGCATATAAATAGTTTACAGCATATGCAATGTTAGTGAAGTCCAAAACATCTCAGGGAAGAGACATTATGAAGTACAGCAAATACAGCCGGAAATACTGCACAACTCAGAAACTGCTTTAATGAGTCGCGCAAATTGTCTTAAATATGGACCCTGAACCCTATGACATTTGATTTTCTGACTTAGCTCATAGTTTTTCTTAAATATGATTTTAACGTTTGCAATTAAGCAATTAAATATAATGAAAGGAACATATTAGCCTTGTTTATTTAGCAATTAAGTCAGTTATGCAACTTTTGGTGTGAACTAACACTACCTTTGAAGTGATTTAACTGAAGTCATACTCACATCGGCTGTCTTTAGAACAGCTTCCTTCCTCATCAAATGAGCCTCATAAACCTCATAGAATATTTCATAGTCAATTTCACTTTGTGCTCATTATAGTAATGAAACGAAGAAGCTAATCCCAGTTGAATAAACCACCATCAGCGAGAAGCCTCTCTGCACCTCATACAATGTTGCTAATGAAGATGCATAAGGCTCTGCCACCTGTTCTTACACTCGCATAATATGAACAAATTTGCTCTGCCTGTAGGAGAACAACAGAAGAAGAAAAGGGACTAAGATTGGAAGGATATGGGTTATGATTGGAGTGCATGCACATGTTTCATGAAACTGTGTGTGTGTCTGTTTATGACTGATACTAATGGCCATATCCTTGTACTGTGCCCTCAGGAGCACTTTAATTACTATTCAGTGGACAGTGCCCTCGGACATCTGGTGTTCTCTGTAAAGTACGATGTGATTGGTGACCAGGAACATCTCCGTCTAATGCTCAGGTAATGCTCATCATTATGCAAACATAGTGGAGTTTAAGTGTGCTTCATTTACATAGGAATATCTTTATTTCTGTATCCTGCACATCTGCAACTCAAGTCATTATGGTGTAAGCTAAAACAAAATGTCAGCACTTTTAACAATCAACAGGTAATGTTTGCAGATTACTACACTTTCTTGTTTCTAAATGGTCAATATTGACTCGATAAACACATCCTCCCATCACGGGTGTTTTCATAAGAGTCATAAAGCAAGGGAGAGTGACAACAGCACTTATATGTCCACAGCAGAGTAACAGATGGACTATTAGACTATCCAGGAAGTGGGTGGAGATAGAGGGAGGGAGGGAGGGAGGGGGAGAAGGCAAAGAGAGGCGAGGGTGAGAAAGTGTGATGGATCATACCGGATCATCTCTTTCCCATCTGATAGCTTCTGAGAAATGTTGCGTCACATTTTATGGCTTTGAAACCACGGTAATTGTTTTATGCCTTCACCAGGAGCAAGTTGAAAACCTACCATGATGTGATTCCCATTTCCTGTCTGACAGAGTTTCCCAATGTGGTGCAAATGGCCAAGGTAAAAAGAGACGTTCATGTTGTGCAGAGATTGATGTTCTGTGATAGCATCAAACTGCACTCTAACATTTGTTCCTCTTTTTTTTGTTGTATCCAAGCTTGTCTGTGAAGACGTCAACGTGGACCGTTTTTTCCCTGTCCTTTATCCAAAAGTAAGATGTGGTTTGATTTGTATAGTTTCACCTGCTTTGCATGTCGTGTCCAGTTCTACACATCTGATGATTTAAAAGGATTGGGATGAAATGTTTCTTTTCTGTCCTAAAGAAAGAAGGAATGTACGCAAAATAAAAGGAAAATGCCAACCTAATATATACCTAACTCAGACGGCTAAAGCGTCATGTGATCTTTAAATAAAATGTTCGATACATTTTTGCACAAAATAGGATTCAGTGGGTTTTGTTAATCACATATAGGAAAAGTTACAGCAAGAAAACTCTTTTAAAGTGTTCATATTACAGTAGCACCTGACATTCTTAAAAACAGTGTTCCTTTCGTGTTTCTTGTTTTAACTGTCTTCATTTCTTCAGGCTTCAAGACTTATTGTCTCCTTTGATGAACATGTGCTAAGCAACAATTTCAAGTTTGGAGTCATTTATCAAAAGTTTGGACAGGTAAGCTAAACAATTTGGATGTAAACTGAAAACATTTGTATTTGACTGTGCATGAATCCTTACTATTAATTTAATTCAGTTTTTGAAAATTGAGAATGTACTATACAGCTTTTAGTCCAGCCCAGTAACTATGGCTGTCGTCAACACTCCCTTTCATTTCCTGAGGCAATCACAGCCCTATTGTTTACTTTGTGTGTGTTGGTGGGGGGGGGGGGCATATGATCTATTGAATCATTTTCCGAGGGGACTTGTACTTTTGAATCGAGACCTCGGTGTGTAAAGATCTTCACCATTGATTCCTCGAAGCCTGCAGTTGTTTAAATACATGGTTAAACACATTGTTAGTGAGCCAAGGGCCATCTCACAAAGCCAGCGAGGGTCCTCTGCTCATCCTTCCGGACATTTGCTATTCAGTAGGGGTACTAAGTGGAGAAAAGCACGATGGTTAAGTAGGCACATAGAAAACAGGAAACACAGCAGAATAGGCAAGAGCAGCTTCCTCTCAGGTTTGTTTGTGTTGAAACAAGCTTTTGTTTTCACTTCCTCTTAACTGTCATAGCTCATCATAAAGAAGAAGCTTTCCAAAAGCCCATCTTTAAACCCTCTGCCATACACACTGTTGTCATTGATCCGAAATGCAAATGCAGTGCGTTTGAATAAGAGAGCAAACACACCTTGCATAAAATAGTCCTTCTGCAATTTCTGGAACGACAATATGCAAAACGTACCTCTTGTGATCAGTTTTCATTTAGCTTCTCAGACATAAATGTTGTTTTTAATGCACGTTAAGATTGTAGCACACATCATCCCCGTCAATGCTGCTGAAATAATGTTGTCCTCTGAGCCTTGATGTTGATGAGTTTGTTCTTTTTTTACTGCTTACAGACGACAGAGGAAGATGTGTTTAGCAACAGTGAAGAGAGTCCAGCCTTTGTAGAGTTCCTGGAGTTTCTAGGAGAGAAAATTGAGCTGCACAACTTTAAAGGGTAAGGACCTATCGCTGGCTTAAAGGCACATTATATACTCTACACTTCACGACATGGTGCCAACCGCAATTTACATGATATAATGCTCACGGCATGATGCTCATGGACATGGTAATGCAGCGATGGTGGAGAATATCTTGTTAGACATGCTACTGTGTTCTTGCAGTTTCCGTGGGGGGTTAGACGTGACTCACGGGCAGACAGGCACCGAATCCATCTACTGCAACTACCGCAACAAAGAGGTCATGTTCCATGTGTCCACAAAGCTGCCCTACACAGATGGGGACACCCAGCAGGTACTGTAATGCAATACTAACACGCCTTTTATGATGTGCTGCAAGCTGTCAGACAGGTTCCCTCTACAGCCATATTTTGCATGTGCCTCCCTGCAGCATATATTAACCAAAAGAAAAACCCTGGTAGTAAAAAGGAATCACTTTAAATGGACGCTTGAACGTTTGCATTTGTCAGCAGCAGTCCTCCCTCTCAGGGTTTAAAGCACCGAGTCCTCCGCCGCCTCCGCCTCGCATGTTCACGCTAACACTGATTAATTAGCCGAAGCTCTAACACCATTTGCTAAACGTGTTTGTACAAACACAGATGAGTCGAGGTCTATACATTCAGCCTCCCTAGTGGTAGTGGGTGTTGCATTGGCAGCTCCTTAGAGCCAATCAGGATGTGTTCAGGCTGACAGGAGAAACAGCACCCCCTGGTGGAGTCATTTCATCTTCTTTCTTAAAACAAGCTTTGTGTTGTTATGGTTGTTATACAGTAGAAGTTCAAATAGTGTTATTTGAATTAAAAAACTGGAAGACAACTGGAAAGTGTCTTTTACTTATCGTTTTCCCAATTCAATTCCAGGAAGCATTAAACCTGTCCTCATAATTATGTCTTTCTTTGTTCATGTCTTGCATTGTTTATTAACCAATATTTACATATATCAAAAAAACATTGCCTTTGTTTTGCAGTTGCAAAGAAAGCGACACATAGGGAACGACATTGTGGCCATATTATTTCAAGATGAAAACACTCCGTTTGTTCCGGATATGATCGCCTCCAACTTTCTGCACGGCTACATGGTGGTCCAAGTGGTCAACCCCTGCTCCGACAATGTTCTCTACAAGGTGACTTATTCCCCTCACTATTTAGCAGATTTCACCCTTCTAAGAGAAATGCTTGATTCAACTTTAATCTGAACTCCTAGGTGTCAGTGACGGCGCGGGACGATGTACCTTTCTTCGGCCCGGCTCTACCGAACCCTGCTATTTTTAAGAAAGTAAGAGAAACCAAAGCTTGTGACTCAAACTACTGCACCCCGAGCCAGTGCACTTTCCAACTCATCATTTGGTTTCAAACATGCTGTCTTTTGTCTTTGTTACTATTTTCTCTCCAGGGCCCTGAATTCCATGAATTCCTCTTTACTAAGCTCATCAATGCAGAGTATGCCTGTTACAAAGCGGAGAAATTTGCCAAATTAGAGGTGAGTTGTTGAAAAGCCTTTAAAACATTTCTAGCATTTTCCAAATATGTATTTAATTTGCCTCTTTGTGTTTATGTGTGTGAGGAGCGAACAAGGTCGGCCTTGTTAGAGACTCTTTATGAGGAGATCCATGTGAACAGCCAGGCCATGATGGGTGTCGGAGGAGACGACGACAAACTGGAAAACGGGGGTGCAGGAGGAGGGGGCTTCTTCGAGTCCTTCAAGGTAACTGAAGAGGCCGCAGCGAAGGCCGGGAGCTTCAGACTGACCGCTTCACGATAATAGCGCGAACAAAACAATTATCACAAAGTTCTTTGCATTATCAAAGTCCTGTGTTATCCTTTAAAATCTACAACTCAAGCAAAGACTAAGATATGAAAATGATTATTTACAGAGAGCTTGAATTTATCAGACTTATTGTTTGACTTTTTATGAAGCCTGGAAACAGCGGGAAACAACTAGCCTAGACAGAATAATCCATTATACTATATCCATATATTGGTTTATACAGTTTAAATCAAATGACATGAATTATTTAGCATCCCTATTTCCAGTCTTTATGCTCAGCTAAGAAAGCCTGCTGCTGGCTTTAGCCTTATATAATGGAGTGATTATAATCGTCTCATCTAACTCACTTGAAGAAGTACAACTCCCAAAATAGATTTTTAACTGTCATTATAAGACTTTTAGATCCTTGTTACTGCACACGAATCATAAATAATTGGAAAATACAGTATTACTATTAACCACAAGCTGTCCAATGTTTCTTCTCTGGCAGTCTCTTAGGATTGTCCTTTTCTTTTTGAAAAGTTGGGTCTATCAATCTTCCTGAATCATTTGAATACAACACTCTGCTGCTTCTACTGCTGGAACACACTACTTCTTCTTCTTCTTCTTCTTCCCAGCTTCTCTCCCTCATGCCTCCTTTCTGTGTTGTGCTGCTTTTCTCTCTGCATGCTCCAGTGTTCAATCACTTGTCCCTTATTTGTACGATTCTGTCATCTTTGTATGTCATAAAATATAGGCCAATGGATAGATGTTTCTTCACCATCAGATGCCTTCTCTCTGTTCCGTGCCTTCAGAGAGGTGCAGTGGGCTTTAAAACCTCTGGCTGTGTTTAAACTCAGTATGGTCCGTCATCTGTGAGCCACTTGGTCCTCCTTCCCCTCTCTTCTCTTACCACCTTTCTAACATAGTGACTCATCTGAACCCCCCTTCGGGCTTTAAAGCTTAGCACTGTTCTCTGTCGCTTCCTTGTCTGTGGGGATTAGCATCAGGCCGGCGCTCTGCCTGTAGCGGTCAGTGTTCAGGGAACGCCGCGAGGCTCCTCTCGGCCCCTAGCGCCGTACAGCGATGCTGAAGGGTCACAGTGGTCAGCGCCCTCTGAATGTATCTCCTCCTCCTCGTCTCTCTCCCTAGCGGGTGATCCGCAGCAGAAGCCAGTCTATGGATGCCGTGGGTCTTACTTTGAAGAAGCCGCACACATTCTCCACTAGCTTCAGCAGCAGCTTTAACCACGAGCCCGCAGAGAGCCCCAAATTCCCAGGGATAGTAAGTACAGTCCCCCCCCCCTCCTCCTGGTACAGAGTGAGGCGAGTCTCGCTGCCTCTTCCTCCCCTCCAGCAGTTCTACTAGAGTTCATGCCCCCTCCTCCCTCACTTGCCTGCTGCACTCATTCCTCACAGAGAAGAGCTCAAGTGGAGTACTTAAACTTGGCTCTCACTTGGCAACGGTTGCACATTGTCTGCACTACGAGATGGACTGACTCATAGACTTGAATGCTTCTAGGACACAAGGTGATTTTCTCCCCGGGGGGAAAGCTGCTTCCAATACTGGAAGTGTGTGTGTGTGTGTGTGTGTGTGTGTGTGTGTGTGTGTGTGTGTGTGTGTGTGTGTGTGTGTGTGTGTGTGTGTGTGTGTGTGTGTGTGTGTGTAACCGAGTTTATGGTGGTTCTGTGTTAATGACCGGCTTAATTACTGTATGTTCACTTTATTTGTTATTATGATTATGAACTAATTATTGTTTCCATCATCAGGGGTAAGATGCGTGTACCCAAATGGCCACTTTCACATCACTCTCTGTAAACACTGTCAACAGCTTTTTTATTTCTTATTTAGTTATATATCCTATATGTATATATTGTACAATTTGTGTGTCTGAATGTTTACTTTTTTAATGAAACTTCTCTGATGATGTATGGAAGTAAGAATTATTAAGATAGCCTTCAAAAATACCTAACCATTATCAATAACCAACAATGTATTTGAATGTATCTAACTCGAGCTTGCTTTTAGTACATAGCCCTGTCCTGCTGTGCATATATGTATAACACGTGTGTGTCCTCTGCTGTTCTTATCTCCTCTTCATCATCCTTCCTGCAGGCATATGGCTCACATGATTGACTCATCACTTTTCTCTTCCATTCAGGCATGCCTGTGTCGCTCAGCCAAAATGTCCCTTGTTGTATTCTCTAATTAACACGTACACTGTATTTTGTTTATGACAGACTGCATGAATTCTCATATATATTTGTATTTACTCATGTTTTCTCTCCCCACCCCTTTTGTCATCTGTCCTCATCTCGTCTCTCTCTCTCTCTCTCTCTCTCTCTCTCTCTCTCTCTCTCTCTGTTGCTCAGTCATTGCTTGTCCCAGGCAAAAGTCCCAGTAAATATGGACGTCGAGGCAGTGCCATAGGGATAGGAACAGTAGAAGAGGTTCATGTCTTATTCTAACTACTCTCTAACAACTCCTTTCTCCTCTTTGGGTCCCTTTGTTTGCATGGCTCAACTGCATCAACACACTTCCCTGTTTGCATTTCAGCACTCTATTTAACATTCATTGTGTGTCACAGACGGGGTGCATTTTCTCAATTTGTGATCAAACAAAAGCAAATACAGACATTTTCTCTCACATTTTCCCATTGGGTAATTTGTTCCTTAAATACAAATATTTTGGGATCTCATTTGACACAATTATCTAGAAATCCTTCAAAGCAGTCAGAGTTAAGCAGCTCTGCTTAAGACTTCATGGTCTGCACTCCCTACTGACTTATATTGTAGATTTTCTTCTATTCTCACTTTCCTATCTGCCTTATTATATATGCACCTTCTGTAGTCGTGGGACTATTCTGAATTTTCATTTCTGTATGCTTAATTTTCGATTTGTATAAATATGATGAATATTAATGAATGAATCACCCCCTTAAAGATATATTACAACAATAACCCTCCCCATGCACTTTGAAGCAACATTAAGTTAAAAGGTTTTTCAAGATCTGATTTTAAGAGCTTTAAGAAGAGATTGAATGAACAAAGCAGTCGCTGAGAAAGCATATTTAGTGGTATGCCCTGGAGCCTTTAAACCCATCTTTCATCTATGGCATTAGTTTGCCCTGCACTGACTGAAAGACTGGAACCGGGGCTTGACACTAAGTCATTAAGTGCATATTTGACCTATTTTTTAATCATAGTATAAACTTGAAGGGTGCAAAGATACCTTTTCTCCAAATTACTACAATTATAGTGACATTTGAAATAACTCCCATCAGTTATGTTTACATAGAAAGATCAGCTCTGTGGATAAACGTAATATTAACCAAAGATATTCTAGATATTAGACGTTTTTTGACAGCTTTTATTTCTCTCCCCCAACAGTCTTTGATAATACCGGGGAAAAGCCCAACCAGGAAAAAGTCCGGCCCCTTCAGCTCCAGGCGAAGTAGTGCCATCGGTATCGAAAACATTCAAGAGGTCCATGAGAAGAGGTGAGGAAATACTGCTGTGCATTGCTGCTATATGCCTCTACAACATGTTGTATTGTGTACCTCTTACTGTGTGTCTAAAGCCTTGTAATTGCTAACTGAAGTTCATAATCTAAACGCTGCTAATATTTAAATTATATAAACCTTCCGTGCAATACGAGGGGAATCGTGCAATTTATTATTTATTTATGTACATATTCCCTATCATGTCTATTTAAGTCCCATTTCTTGTTTTTATTGTTTCTTGTTGTTTTTATATTGTCTTGTTGTTTTCATATTGTCTTGTTGTTACGTGTTGGCACCTTGAGTTCATTGTAATTTCGTTGTACCTGTACAATGACGAATTAAAGATCTATCTATCTATCTATAATCTACTTCCTGCTATGAACAACAGAGAGATCTCCCTCAATACCCAGAAGACCCCTGACAGCGGTCACGTCTCTCAAGATCCCAAATCTGACAACTCGTCCAATCAGAGCTCCCCCGAGGCGCTCACCAGCACCAAGAACAGGTGTGCATTATCAGTTACAGCCGTATCACAGGGTTATGATGATGATGTTAGATTTCACACCTTGTGTCAGACCTGTATTTGTGGAGCCGGCGGGTATTTCTCAGCTGTGGCAGCATGTTGAATGACTGTGTCCTGTACATAAGATAAAATCAGGTGTGGCTGTGCTGGAGCGTGATAACCCAGGGTGTAGTTCTCTTCTCGGTGGCAGGGCCCAATCCATCCCCGAGGGTCACGACCTCTCCCGCTCCTCCTCCAATGCTAGCAGCTTCGCCAGTGTGGTGGAGGAGAACGAGACAGAGAACACTGAGGACTATGACACGGGCATGGTGAGTGATGGTGTTCAGCCTGAATGAAAACAAGACAAGTATCAGAATCACATTTCATACAGCAGCGGGGAAATTAACATTGTAACAGCAAATGGACAGTGTGGGTAAAAGGCAAAAATAAAATGAGTTGCTTTACATATTAAATAAAGAGGCAAGCACACGTTGATCAAATGAAATCAAATAAGTAAACGTCTAAGTTATCAATTTTGTTAGTTGGTTACTTTATAAGTTCTTCTTCTTTCTAAATCATGAGAGTATTTCACAAGACAGATATTATGTGAAGGAAATCAGCCT